TCACTCATTGCTGACAAAAAAAGGTTTCTTTATAGGCCATTTTATAATTCCTACTTCTTCTGTAGTCTGTACAATGCTCTTCATTTTTTCAAAATTCTTAATGTCTTATTGTACAAGTCTATATGTGCAAACTACTACTAATACATTTCATTTAGCTGACTTTTCTCCAATTTATAATTATTGCATTTAACCATGAAGATACAAACTCCAAAGGGAAGACTCCTCTCTTTACTAGCTTTAATGCTGACGCTGACATGTCAATATGGATAAGGGTTGTTCATATGGTTCACAGTGTATACCCTGTAAAAGTAGAAAGTTCCTCAAAGATAATGGTATAGGAAGAGCAATTGTATGAATCAAGTTGCCTATGTTACTTTTTGTACTCAATAAAAAGTATAGCAAACATAGATCGTAAGAAAAATGGTTCACATTCACTCAACTTCTTACAGAGAAGACCCATTTGGTAGAAGGGTTTAAACAAACCATCATGTATTTGCATTAAAGGAAGACCATATTTTGGGAAATGAGTATTTTGGGAACCTGACCCTACAGAGCAGACTGGGTGTCCCACAGAGCAACAGATGTTTAACTACTCTCCGCAGCCTCCACTCTGCCGCCCCTGTCTTTGTGTGTTAACCAGCTCTACGTGTGTCTGTCTCCTCCTCTTATTCACAGGCCTCTGTTTAGCACTAATTAGCTATGTGTCTCCTCTCCTCTCCCCCTCCAATTCTACCCTGAAGCCTCGTCTTATTGTACTGTCATCTCACTGTTTACCGTGCTAAGTAATAATCATCTAATCTGAGCTCTCCTCCTCCCGCCTCCCCTCCTGTCCCTCCTCTTCTCCTCCTCCGCTCCTCCCTCTTGTCCTCCTCATTATGGCCTGTTCTCAGTTGTGACAGCTGTCATTAATCAACTCATTTTGAAAGACGTTGAACCTTGCAACCCTGAACACCCACCCCTGTTCAACCAGGAAATGTTCTATTCCCCTGCGGTCCATTAGGCCAATCACAGCAACACTGGGGCATGACAATAGATACAACAATAGCAACCTAAAGCAGATATTAGACTATAAACCACAATAGGACACAGACAGCAGGAGAACAACAGGCTTTTTTATACTCTATCCGTTGGGGATTTTCTTATAGCTTCAATGTCTCCTGGGATACATAGTTATATCTTATTTCACCAACACACTGGTCCTATAAATTAGTGTCACTTGCGTCACTAAAGCCAATATTAAGGTTAAGTAACTCAATTTGCAATACTTTGATATAGACACACAGGTCATTCTTGGTAAAGTATCTCTCTCGAACTATATTTGATTCAGCACATAGACAGCAGATAGCTTGCACATCTTCCGGCGCAGACTGAAAACTCATCTCTTTCGACTCCACTTCGAGCGATAGAATTACTAACAAAGCACTTATATACTAATAAAGGACTGGCTTATCTATAGCCAGTTGAGTAGCACTTGAAATGTTTCGCTCTATGAAACCTGATGTACTTATATGATTCTGTTTTCTTCAAGGTTGTATCTTCCTGGTCTAATGCACTTATTGTAAGTCGCTTTGGATAAAAGCGTCAGCTAAATGCAATGTAATGTAATGTAATGATTCCATGTATGTGTCTGGCAGCAGTTCATTATGAACTTTATCCAATGCAATTGTCAATGTCCAATAAAATTACTAGGCAGCTTTTGTTTTTTGGCAAATTGCCACTGCAATTCATGTGATTCATAAAAAAACAAGCTCTTGTGATCAAATAAGTGAAATCAAATCAGTTTTCATTTAGCCTCTCCCATATTCCTGTGCACCACCATGCAAGAATGGTGTAACCTTTTTGCCTCTTAACTATGGAGGACTGACAGAATCGCCCACTGGGTTAACCTCTCTTTCATTTGTGTATGAATAGAGGCGACATGAATGGTTCTTTTACAGCTAAGGGTGGAGAGGAGCTTTAGCCTAGTTATTTTGAGTCTCTGTGGTTTGTTTGGTTTTTTTCCTGACTGTAGTTTTGCCTCTTTATGAAAAAATACAATAATTAAATGTCAATTTGATTAATACTTCAAACTTTTGGATACTTTCAAGTAAAGTACATTTCTCTACCACAGATAAAAACCAGCAAGACAGCTAAAGAAACAAAGCAATGTCAACGTAAAAGCTAGCTGATGAGCCACAGCTAGCCTTAGCACTAGCTACGTTTAATTTAATTTCTTTCCCTTATGTTTTATCTGTTATATAAAAATTGAAATTAAGATGTAAGGACATCTCAGTGACTCACTTTATTCCAAATTACTAAATTAGTTGCTAATTTTAAACAAGATAGAGCATACCAACCTAGCTTAACCCAGCTAATGCTGTAACCATCTCAGCAGAGTAACAGCAACAAGCCCTCTGTTTGACTTGATTTATATCACGTAAATGTATTAGATTGTATATCAATTGAAAATATTAAATAAATGTAAAATATTGACTTCAATATGAACATGAATAATATGGCAACATAGACACCTAGCAAAACAAATTGGGATTGCAAATAGTGACAATAAAAATGATTTATTTCAACAAATTAGTTAAAAGGGCCCTGACTTCTGACCCCTGGTTTAATAAATGCTGCTGCAGATGAAGGAATGCCATTTATGAACAATGTTTCATCAGAGAAGACATACATAGGTTGACCTCATACACCTGATCGCTCCATCCTCAGACAGAGTATATGACTGTACAAAGTATCACGTTATGGCTGCACTATCTTTCTGTGAATTGATCAAAGCTACGTGAATACAAAGACTCTTTTGTTAAGGGCTATTAAAATGGCCATTCAATGACTATAAATCACAATTCCAATATATTTGCCTACCAAAGAAAATAATATCTCTCAGTGGTGTGAAATGTCACATGCGGCATCTTTACCTTTGCGGGACCTCATATCAAATGGTGTGATATTTGAGCTAGGATATCAAGATGTATAGTACAAACTTCATTAAATGGTGAGCTATATCCTCCCTTATCTTATAGAGATCAGATCACAGAGTATTAATTATTTTACAGCTGGCTTTTACAACTGCAGTCCTATCCTGTTCACACATTACTCTGACCTGTTTGATCATAAATGGCAGTGGAAAACAAATTACATAATTGCAACAAAAAAAAAGCATTTATTTTTGACCAAATTAAAGGTAGGGTATGTACATTTGAGAAACCGGCTCGAGATACACTTTTTGTTATATTCCATGAATGCTCTTGACATCCCGATAGCCGGCCCGGCTAAAATAACTGGATGGCCTACCTTCCTGTTAGCCTTCCATCTGTGCACAAACTTATCTCGTGCCCTCATTGGTCATGTGCGCGTTCGTGTGTGTTGGAGGAGGGGCTCTATAAGGAAGTGGCAGATTTTCTCCGATCGTGTATTTTCAAATTCTAGCGATCTCGAGCCGATTTCTCAAACGTACATACCCTACCTTTAACAATTGAGTAACCTTTAGTTTGCAATGTATATCATTAATTAAAAAAAATTCATGTTAAATATTCGTATTTATAACAAAACATGTACATTATTACATATAACCAAATGTTGTTTACAAATGTTTCCCAAACAAGTATGCAATATAAAAGCCACACAAATAAAATCCTTCTTTTGCAACATCAGGAAAGATTTATAAAAATGCATATTATAGGCTCATTTATACTTTTTGATGGTGACAAGCAGGTATACGGACGTGCTTACACACACATCCATAGTCCTTTAAGTTTAAGTTGGGTAGTCCAGCAGGTGTTGGTGTGTTTGTCTTTGAGGTGAGTGCAGTTGGTTTTCCCAGGCCCCTGACTGTGTCTTATCAGTCCTGTATAAACCAGCAGGAAATCACCACTGGTTAAACTGTGGCAGATAGAAGCAGTTCTGACACTTACGTGGAACTGAATAAGTCAGGGGATTTTCTGGATCAGGTCAGCTTAGGTATATATCTTCTGCAAAGCTATACAGTAGCCTAATATATCAAATTTTTGCAATGTGCAGTTCACAACAGTTTACAATAAACAGTTTGATCAAGTTTCTAGCTACTATTTGCACATATATTACATCATTTTGTTTCATATTAAAATGTGTATTTGATGGAGTAAACACCAGACAACTGGATTTTGTGTCACCTGTACAGAAAATAAATTTGCTCTCTGTCAGTTTACTGCCCCTCTATCTGCTTCATGGTGTGGTGGTGACCGATAATCATCGCAGCAACCACTGATAAGAACGGTTGGGTTTCGATCTTAGCAAGCAATAAACTATAATGAAGACTAAGTTGTAAAATTATGTTTTTGTCAGATCTCTAAAGTGAGATGAAATGAATTACTGGAGCATGACTGTAAGTGTTTTATGTGTGTGTCTCCATGTTTGTGAATGTAATACATATAACACGTGTGTGCAAGATATTGGTTGAGGAAATTGAACCTCAAGCACACCTGAGACAGGGATATAATTGGATGTCAAACTGCCAGAAAGATAAAATAAAGAAAGTAAGAAAGAAAGAGAAAGAAAGAAAGAAATAAAGAAAGAATAATATTATTATAAATATGTATTATTTCACAGGCAAATAATTAGAATTGTGAATGCTTGAGAAGGAAGGAAACAAAGACTTACAACTTTGCTGTATTGAAAAGCATTTATCTTGGACTCAACTCATATAGCTGATACAAGTATGCACCAATGCCTATAATTAACACTTAAAAGAAAAACACATACACCCTTCCCCTGTCCTGTGCTGCATGGCTCTGGCCAATCACAACGCAGCAGACTTTATAACGCTCGTGGGTGCGAGTAGTTTCCCAGCTCACTGCTGGAGTGAGCGAAGTGGTTTTTACGCACAAGCCATAAGTGGAGTAGGTCAGAGAGATTTCTTCAGGGGACGAGGAGTGACAATATAGAAGTGCTTGTAAACTTTAAGAAAAACACAGTGTTCTCAGAAATAAGTGCTTCAAAGTTCATCGTGGGACAGAATGACTATCACCATGGAGAAATCTAAAAACTTTCGCATTGAAGCGTTGCTGGCGCACGACGTGGAGCAGAGGACGGACAGTGATGGTGCGTCCCCGGGGTTGTACTACAGCAGAAGCCCTGGTGGCAGTCCTGTGTCAACCCGTGGCTCGGAGACGCCCTCCCCACGTCCAAACCCAACGAACTACTCTCCAGCCCTGCCAGGAGTACTATCAGAGTCCCAGCTCTTCAGCCTGTCCCAGTCAGGATACACTGCTCTACACCATGGGGGTCTACTCGGTATGCACCCAGCTTCCATGTATCCTCTGGCAGCCCTCGGAGGCCAGCACCCCGCCTTTATGTACCCCGGCTTCACGCAGCTGGTCCAACCGTACCATGAGCAGCTAAAGGGGGCACACATGGCCGTGACGCACCCGCTTGAGCCCTGGATCAGGGCCGGGATGATGATACCCAGACTCGGAGATTATGGAGGTGAGTGCATCTCGTGTAGTTTTAAACTGTATCTATTTTACTTCCTGTAACTTAAGACGGTCGAAAAACTATAATGCATGTTTAACCATTTCAGAATTTGTGGATAAGACTTTTAACAATCCCATTAAAATGACATGGATATCCAAAAGTCATAGATTAGACAAAAAGAATAATAATAAAAAAGAATAACAATTTAACACATACAATGAATTATAATGTCATGTCATATGTTTTACAACATAGTTCTATATTTATATAACTGTAAATATTAAGTATACTCTTGAAAACATCTTATTTTTGTTGATTACATATTCCTTATTGTTATTTTACCTGATTTATAGAAAGAGGATCATTTTCGATCCAGGAAATAGCAGCATTTCCAGTTTAGACCTTAAAATCAAATGTTTCCTTTTGAATTATGTTATTAAACATATTACAATTATGTATTTGTTTGGTTCATTTTTTTGTAATGGGTATTGTCAACTAGTAAGCTAATATATTTATATGTTTCGAGCCTCCTCCTCACACCTGTGTGTTGATTCTGGCTTTAAAAGGGCCGTGACATTGAGGTGTTGTCTTTTAGGGACAATATCTCATCAAAATAACATGCAACATTTACCGTCAAGGTAACAACTGAAATAGACCTACTACTTAATCAATTGATAACATTTATGGTGTTTTCATTAAGGTAATGGTCTCCGATGTTATGGTTTATTACCCCTCCAAAGCAATATCCTCTCACCACGACCTCACATCAAGGCAATAAATGTTAACGGATCGAGAACACATGATATACAGACAGGAAGACAGACAGGTAGGGAGGCCTTAAAAAGGCAAACAGGGAAGTGGAAACCAAACTGGAAGATTTAAAAATGTTTTTGAAAAAAATATCTTTAAAATTATAGTTTTCTTTGGGTGTATTTGTTTCACTTGGGCCTATATGCATCTATCCTTTTTTATTGGCCCAATATCCATAATATTGTAAGAGAGGTATAGTGCTCTTACAGAAATCGATTACAAATGTTCAAATCTAAACAAGGACATGCGCAAAGAATAACCTGTATTTTCTCTTTCCCTCATAGCAGCAGCCCATGCTGGTTTGTTGGGGAAGTGTCGGCGCCCCAGGACGGCTTTCACCAGCCAGCAGCTGCTAGAATTAGAAAACCAGTTCAAGCTCAACAAGTATCTGTCCAGGCCTAAGCGCTTCGAGGTGTCCACTTCACTCATGCTAACTGAGACTCAGGTAAGAGAGCCTGTAGCATGTTTTTAACTGTTTTATCCCCCGTAATTTCAATGTGTGAGTACATTCCATAAGTCGCCAAAGATGGAATAACTTCAAGATAATAAAGATGCTTTTCCAGAGTTTGTGTAACAACATTTTAGTATTGCACCTTATGCAGCATTAACTGTGTTTATAATGCTGAATTTTAACTATCTTCTATCTGTTTAGTATATTTAATTAGTTTAATTGTTTCTTGTGTTATAATGGTTTTGCTAAGCACTTTGATTTGCCTTTGTGTCTGAAATGTGCTGTATATACTCAACTATTTTGCTTCTTCCTTGTCTCTTGTATTTAACCATGACGTCCTGTTTTGTAACATTCCTATGGAAGAGGATTATGGCCACATGAGAATTCTATATGATTTAACTCTTAATTCTGAGTCTAAAGTCTTAACTCTGACTTTAATCTCAGCCCTCCAAAAAAACAAAAAACACATGTGGGCCTAAACTCCATACATTCCGTAACATATACATCTGTGAAAAAGGAACATCCTTTGTTGCAGCCTGAACCCCCACTACTAAACGTACTATTTGTACACAGTTTAACTGTCATGATTCTTCTCGTCCTTCGCCAGGTTAAGATCTGGTTCCAGAACAGGCGTATGAAGTGGAAGAGAAGCCGCAAAGCCAAGGAACAAAAGTCACCTCTGACTGACACAGAAAAAGCTGCCATGGATATACACAGTGCCAAGCCTCAGAGTGATTCACACAGCTCCAGCCTGGAGGATGAAGAGGAGATAGAAGGGGATGATGAGGATGAGAAAGAGGAGATAGAGGTGCTGAGGGCGGCTTCTTTAGGCTCCGTAGGCTTCTCGAGGCACGCTGGAGGAGGAACAGGGAACTATTACTCAGAGGAGGAGCCGGAGGAAGAAAGCCCAAGAACAAGAAGTGGGATTTTCCCATAGTTGCAAATGGCAGCATGCTTTTATTGTACGTCTTTTTATGTTTATTACTCTTAGGGACGATACACAATGCAATCAGGTGCACAAACATGGTGGCATGAAGAGGACCATTTTTTTGTCAAAGGCCTGCCCATAGTACTATACCATCCAAAAAAGCAAAAGGGTGCCGTCATCTGCACATCAGGCACATCAGGCACATAACGCATCTCATTATACAAGAATAATGCCACATTTGTGTTCCTCGACATTTATTGGTTTATATAGGCTATGGTCAGTAATCAATTAACAAATAATTCTGATTTATAATTTGCGCATGATGAACGTAGCCTCTTTTCCTGTCCTATCATCTGAAATGAATTAATTATATTTGAACATGTACTTAAACTGTATGAAAATGGGGGGGGGTAATAGCACTTTTATGGAAGGTATTGGATAAAGAGACAGAAAATTGACTTGGAAATCATGTTGTAAAGAGTGTCAGTGTTACATTGTTATAAGGACATGCTGGTCTGTTACACATGTTGGCTACATGTTCCCATCCATTTTTCTCATATTTTAAACAAGAAATAAGAAATAATAGATTATTTTTCACCCTGGTAAAGTTAAGGGCATAGGGTGTGGAAAGAAAATACCAAGATGTTTTTTTTATGTGACTGTATAATATACAATTATCTTCTTATAACAGCATGTTATATTTAGTAATTTACACAAAGAAAGAGGCTGCATATACTGTATTTTACATTTTATGTTAAGGCATCTACCCTGTATTTTGTAAAATCTTCTCATACAGTAGGCTATTAAGCATGTTATGATGTCAATATAATTTAACATTATAGACTTTAATATATTTCACTTTTAAAGCAATACTAGTGGTTTTTGTGGAGATAAATAGTTCAATACAATTGAATTCATGTGTGATGAGTGATGAGTGCATTCAATTTCAGATTAAATGCAATCTAAGACAGAATTGTTCTGATTAAACGGTTTTAATGGGATGGTGTCACTTCTTTATTACTGTCAACAGTGGTGTAAAGTAACTAAGTAGATGTACTCAAACACTGTACTTAAAGGTGGGGTATGCAATTTATTTCAGGAACACTTTTTGTTCTATTCCATGGAATGCTCAAATCCCGATAGCAATTAATATATTAAATGCTTTGACAATAAATACATACAAAAATGTAATCTGTGGAAGCCGTAGCGCTGTAAAAAGCACGACCAACCATTTTAGCCGACACGGCTGTATTGGTATATTGGTCATAAACTCGTAGGCCTATGTGATATATAAATACTACCAGTTCCCGAATTGACATGCCCCCCCTCGGCTGCCGTAATTACTACCGGAATACAAACAGTTGCTTGTTGCCTTGGTAACGCCGTCACGACACAAACTTCTACCAGACTTGTTTGCGGTGTTTGTATAACTAAAATGGAGTGAAAGCAATCTTATTCTATCTTTACTGTTGGTAGTTTGAAATAAGGTAAGGACACTTAATTCCCGTAGACCAACTGTGTTATGTTTAGCATGCTTTTTGTTCTGTGTCGCAACTGTTTTAACTTTCCCTGTGTTAGCTATTTTAATAGCTATATTAACGTTCATTTCAAAACACTAGCAACCTGGTTTAAGGTGTAACGTTAGCAATGTTTTAACTTTAGTTACACTTTTAAGGTGATAATGTAATTATTATCTCGACTATAAGAAAACAGAAACCCTTACAGTATAACCACAAGGCATCCACCAGAAACTCACATGTGTATTTTCTATTTTGTAAATGTCAAGCTAGCTGAATGCTCTCTGTCTTCCTCAGCCATGTTAACTGAGGCTCGGGTTCCTGACCCCTTCACTCCAGGAAAACCGTGGAAGCCCCCCACCGCTGGGAAGGATATCAAAGTAAAAAAAAGAAAAAAAAAGAAAGAGCTTATCATAAATAATAACTTGTCCGTTTTTCCTGTGTACCAATGTGTTCAGTTTGAATAGTTTTAAAAATGTAGATTAATAATCCAGACTAATTTGACCAATTAAATTACCAGGCTTTAAATACATCAAGTAAATCAGCACCATACATTTTATTATCAGTGACTTTACAATTACTTTTTGGGTCACAATTTATGATCCAAATTTGAACAGATGGCATCAGATGACTACCAGAATAAAATAAAAATGCTTGATGATTTGATAACAGTAATCTTAGTAAAATACAGAAAATGTATATCCAATGGTCTAAGAATAACAATAGGACAATCATACAAAGCACTTTACCCAGCTGTTCCCAGGTCTGTACAGAAATGATTAATACAAAAACAGTTTGAATAGAAACAGCTTATCATCAATGAATAACATGTGGTCTGCTTTTCCTGTGTTCCAATATGTTAAGCTTTGTTTTTAATCCCCCCTTAAATAAGCAAAATGATCCATGATCAACAACAGCCTATACCTAAATCTGTTGTGTATTTTAAAGCCTGGTTCTCTGCCTATTTATTTAAACATTTACCTATGAGGATAAACAACCTGCTATTCAAGAGGCAATGGCAGAGAGAATGCCCCATACAAGCCCTTTATCATATATAATACAATTAACATAGGCCTACATCCTGAAACAGTTGCACTGGTGGGCACAGAACTGAAATACATTTGACTTAATCTTTGTATTATTTACCAGTTGCTCTGACATAATGACACACAATTATGTTCAGTAAGCATTTTGATTTAGAACTGGTCAATCCCATACTTTAATGTTAGCAAAACAAAATTGAGGCTGAATTACACATGCTTGGAAAAAGTGTGGGTTTTTTAAGATGTAGATATCGGATTTGAAAATATCCATTCAAACCCTGCAAAAAAAAAAAAAAAAATAGTTTGAATAATTTGTTATGTAGGTTGTCTTCGGCAATTTCTTTGAAAAATATTGATCTGTGTCTGCTCTCAAAACACGTCTTCTGCAACACCTCACCCAACAGGATCCAGGGAGTCACGAAATGCAGCGGGTTGGAAGGTACCAGCGACAAGAGTCCAGCCAAAGCAGCTCCGTCTTGGGGCTGGAAATGAAGCCAGAGCTGGTCTGGGAGGACTGGGACCTGGGAAGAGAGTTCACCAAGACATTAGTGTTAAAGAATGTTCATATCAGGCTTCAGAAGCTACACGTCAGGTATTAAAAAACACACACCAGTATGCATACACTCATATAGGTATTCTCATACACCCTCACACAATCTGGGTTATTTTCCATGCATTTACTTGCACCATTGTGTTAATTGCGCCATTGTCTTGCACAATTTGTATGTCTTTTGTATGTTGCACTGAGCCTGGGCTTGACTCTGTAGACATTGTGCATATGACAATAAAGCCTTGGGATCTTCTTGTTTATTTCAAGCAATGCTATGCACATTTGATGATTATGCCATCGCTTTTATATCCTATCTGTCCCCCCTCACAGACCTCCAGTGTCCAAGTTTTTCTCCACCTTGGTTCCCCATACCATCGTTATTAGCCCAGGGACTTCTTTCTCTGTGCCAATCAGCTTTAGACCACTCAAGAGGGTAACCCATCACAATCTTATACATAATTGTTAGGAATAATTGTAGAGTAATTTACCCCAGGGCTTACAAACTTGGGCTATCTTACTATTAGAAATGGTCAGATATAACTCAAATAATTGGGTAAGGGAGATCATAGGACCGTTTCAAAAGAAGGACCTGAGTAAATTCTAGATCTAGACCATCTTTTTTAATGATGAAGTTTTGTATACATGATGACACCACAAGAAGCACATTTGGCGGAAATAGATGATTAATTTTATCCATATAATATTGATATGACACAATCTACCTCTCTTGTTTCACGTGTTGTGTTTGTGTTTCTTTCCTACTGCCCTGCACAGTGTGAGTATGAGGACAGCATTGATTTTGAAAGTAAAGATGGCAGCAGCTTCCAAGTATGCCTCCGTGCCACCATTCCCTGCTGTGCCCTGGAGGTGCCTTACTCTGTGCTGCTGCCACTCTGTGCTGTCCGAAACACGTCATATACCACTTTCCTTCTCAAAAATGTCAGGTATGAAACCAATGCGAAGAAGAAAAAATAATGAATACAAGTTTTAAATAAATGTATTTGAATCTAATATGTGTGTGTTTATCTTCTTTTGTGTGTGCTTTTCTTCTTCCCACAGTAAACTCCAAACATGGTTCGAGTTGGATTGCACAGAACCGTTCCAGCTAAGCCCCGAGCAGGGGGTGTTGAAGCCCGGTCAGGAGTGTAACATCATGGTGGAGTTCCAACCACAAGAGGCCCTGGTGTACCAGCAACAGGTCGACTGCAGGTTTGGAGAAGAAGGGGACGAAGGGGACAAGGCAGAGAGCTGCTGCAATGTTCTGCTGCAGGGACTAGGTACTGTATGAACTGAGACAGGGCACATTGAGATTAATGACCCAGAGAAAGATTACCAATTAAATGATCAGGCTTTATAAACATAGGCGTTCACGTATACGAGTACCACAGACAATATGATATCTAAACAATTATATAGGTTGTTGTTGTGCATGTATATGGTCTGCAAGCGCTGAAATCCCATTTGTATCCTGCGACATAGTGACATCACTACAGTACGTAACACCCACACTTCTATTGGCTAGCAGTCCAACACATTGTACATGATAGGGGGCGGGACATCTCGAAGCGGTTGACCGATCACAACAGAGCCGGTCAGCTAACCAATCAGAACACACTGGGCTCTGGTTTCTGACAGAGGGTGAAAAGAGGTGCTGCAGCACAGGCAGTATGAGAAAATAAAGAGCTTTTTGAACATATGTGAACATTTCACAGAAGAACAAATATGAACCTGATAATGAAAATAATAGGACCCTTTAAATCTATATCATCTAAAAATGAATGATATGATCCTAGCTCAAGAAGTTAACCATATGAAACGATTAAACATGCTCTAAACTTGATTGCTGGTTTGTAACATTAGTTATATTAGTCAAGTTAGAAAAACATATATCCACTGGTCTAAAAATGACTGATAGGACCTTCAAACAAAGCACTTTAGCTACTTTCTACCCAGCTGTTCTCTTGTCTGCACAATGCAAACCTTAGAAGAGATGTCAGTCCTTGATTTGTCTTGATATACTGACATGATGTGGATTGAACCATACGGCAACAGGCTATATATTATTGTCAGATAAACTTTGTTGAAGAAAGCGATGAACCAATACTCTCTGACTTGTTCTTGTCTTTTCTTCCAGCTAAATTCCCATTTCTTCAACTGAAAAGTCCAGGAACCAAGGGTGAAAAAGAACAGTATCATCCAGAGCTGCACTTTGGCTCTGTTGCTGTCGGCAAAAGTTTACAGAAACACGTCGACATCTTCAACCCCTCCCCTGTGAGTAGTACGCAAAGATTCACCAAAGCAAAGCAGTGACACTCCCTCTAATCGCTCTTTTTGCCCCTTCTCCTACAGGTGACTGCAGGATTCTCTCTTTTATGTCTGTCCAATGGGTTGCCCCTGCAGAGGTCAGAGTTCAGCTGTGATGTGACCCAGGGCGAGGTGGCGCCCGGTGGATCGCTACGGGCTACAGTCACCTATAGTCCTGCTGTGGTGGATAGAGTCTCTGTGGATTACTTATCTCTAAAATATAGAGGGTTGGAGAATGTGACGCAACTCAAAATGATGGGAAACTGTTTAGGTAGGGGACACTCAGAAACACACTCTTATAGCCTATTGGGTACAACTACAGTTATTGTGTATAAGAAGTATTTCTCTTTGTAACTAGGTCCCAATGTGTCCCTGTCCTCCTCTGTGGTGGACTTTGGCTGTGTTGAGGAAGGAGGAGCAGTTGTACAGACATTGGAGCTGCTTAATTCCTCACACGTTGAAGCTCACTTCCAATGGGACTTGGACTGCAGTGGGAACAGTGTGTTCAGCTTCCAGCCAGCGAGTGGCGCTGTTCGCCCCCATAGCCGCACCACCTTGAGGGCGGTCTATAGGCCCAGGCAGACCATTGCTCACCACAGGAGAGTGGCATGTCTCATACTGCACAGGGTAGGAGTCAATATGCAGCTCACATTCAAACAGCTTCAATATTCATGATTTCTTCCTCATAACTCTTACTTCCCTTTCAGCAGCCAAATGTTTTTAAGCTATGCAACTCAGCATTATTATCCTATTAATAATAATACACCGCTGTATTTATGTAATAAACATGTTGCATAAGGTGGTACATTTTTGCACTTCTAATGTCTATATGAATATTTGTAATCTTTATTTTTTTTCTTCCTTTATGCGTCATGATACTTTAACATTTTGTTTTTGAATATATTTATATGTTTATTCTATTTTATTTTATCTCTTTATTTCACATATAAATACTTTTTTTTTTTTTTGTATCTTTCATTTTATTCCAAAATGGAGCAACTGTCCCGAAACAAGATATCCCCAAGGATAAATAAGTGTTCTGATTCTCCTCTCTCCGTAGGAGCCCTTGTTCCTGGACCTGATTGGTACCTGTCACTCAGAGCTGCATCAGCCAGCCGTACTGAAGCCTGAGCACCTGGTTCTCTACAAGCTGCACTGGTACCGCAGACACGACCCGGCAGACACACCCAGTGCCATGCTGCAGAATCAGGATGCAAGCATGGACCACCAGGAACTTCTCTCCCCTGCAGTGGAGGTGAGGCGTCTCAAAGAGAAGCAACCTGCTGATTGTTCTAGATTAAAAATAAATACATAATCAATTTCACCAAAGAATTGGCAAAATTGGGTTTCATGACAGTTGCTCTCGTAATAATATAATAATATATTATTATATAAACCCAAGAAGTTAAGTAAAAATGTGCTTTTAAATGGTAGAATAAAATAAAACTCAATCAAACTATTTATATGCACATAAGAAGTTAAAATAAAATATGCAATATAAAAACGGGAAAAGAACATTTAAATGACAATATTAGCATAAAAAAATATTTCAAAAAGACAAAGAACAACAATGATATTAACATAAGATTTTAAAATAATAATAAAAATATGCAATGAAAAGATCAAAATACATTAAAATAACACGAATATACACCCAATAAATTATTGCAAAAATGTGCATTAAAATGTAATGTAAATCAGATTAGAAATTATTTTTATAAACATAAGAAGTTAAACTACATATGTGCACATTGTACACTATATGACAACAATACGTACAAGTATGTCGTTTACAAAAATATGCAGCCATAGGTTTTCAATTGTGTATTTGAATATTTGTCTGTGTCATTTTGTATCAGTCTGTCCAGAAGCCAGACAGTGCTGGTGTTGTGTCCAGAGATCCCATGGAAGAATATTACCAATCCTGCTTGGGCTGCATGGACCCCCTCCCTTCCAGCTCTACTGCATCGCCCCCACATGTATCTGTGATGCCCAGAGAGCTACTGTTTACACACAAAACCTCCTCCTCTGTGTCTACTTCATCCACCTCCTCTCAGTTTGTCTCCATCACAAACCACACCAGGGGGAAACTCAGGTATCTGTGTTTTTTTGTCACGGAAGAGAACTCGACTACAATATCTGTTTTCTTGTTGAATCTGATATTTGTTTCACACTATTCCACTCTAGCCTGGTGTGGACTGCTGGAGAAGACTCTCCGTTCTCTGTCTCTCCCTCATCATGTGACCTGCCTCCTCTGAAGTCCACCTCATTCAGGGTCACCTACGACCCCAAGCAGCTGAGCACTCTGCACGGAGCTCAACTTGAATGCTTTGCATACTATAAGGTAAGGTTGTTTGATAATCAAGGGATGTCTTTCTTCTTTGAAAAAACAGCTCACATGTTTGTCCACTCAAAATGAGTCATCCTGTTTAAGGAAAAGAGAAGGGCCACATGTGAAAACATTTTGGACATTTGACCAAAAGTGAATATTGTACTTTAAACTGAGAAAATACGTAATTTCTTCCCAAAATTCGGAATGTTCTCTCAGCATTATCAGTTCAATCTCGGCACTAAAAAATAAAAATTACTCACATTTTCTTCCGCATGTGACCCTACGCCTCTGCCGTAGATAGGGGACTCATTTTGAATGGACAAACAAATTGAAATGTTTATTCTGAGAATAAAGTCAGAATTCTGAGAAAACATTCATTTTTTCTCAGTTTAAAGTTTAAAATTCACTTTTTTTTTACTAGGAATTAGGGCTTTATTCTCCATATCCTGACTTTGATATCAGAATGTTGACTTTAATCCCAGATCTAAAATAAAAAATCACTTTTGGTCGGATCTCCTATTTTTCTCTCCTCTCTTTGGTACTTGTCTGTTGAACGTAATGCTATAAAAGAATATCAAGACTGCACCTCAGCCGTAAATTGTACCTTTGCTTTTCTTGAGTTTGTATCTTCATGGTTGAATGCACATGTTGTTGCACATCTATTGTCTTCTTATCTGGTCCTGCAGGACAATCCTCCCCTAGAGGAGCGACTGCTGTGCCCCCCCTGGTGTGTGACTGTCAGAGTCATAGGCCACTCCTTTCAGCCGGGCAAAGAGCATTTCATCCCCAACTGCTCTCTGACGCCTTGTCAAGTGGTAAGCACGAGTAACATCAGAAACGTTACGACATGTCATTCTCTCTTTTTCGGAATCTCTCACTCATTTTAAAGTGACTTTCGCTCAATAAACAGAAAACAAATCAAGATGATATTTCTGCTTTATAGTTTCTTTAGTTCTTTTTTTTGGTTGTATTTGCCTCCGGACCTTACAATAACCTTGACCAATTTGTATATCAATATTATATTCACATTATACCTCATTGCATTTCACTTTTTACAAAAGCTGTTACTGCCTTTCATATTTGTTAAATGTATATATAGCATCCTATGTATATATTTTTTAGAAGTAGATTGGTCTATTGTAGTGTATATCCAAACTTCTTTTTTGTGTATTCTTTTAGATATATATCTGTCTACTGTTGATATGTATATTTGTACTGTTCATGTTTATTTCTTATTTTAAACTCATGTGCAATGCCTTGTTAACATGCTGCTGTAACAAAACAATCTCCCAATTTTTGATTAATAAAGCAAATCTAATGTAGTCTAATCTAATAACATTTAATCTATTCTATCTAATCTTGTTTAATCCAATGCATCGTTTCAACAAAAAGGTCCTGTCATAATAACACTTTCTTTAAAACCTTTGCAAATGACATTTTTCCATGGAAGTACACTAACATACTATACTTTGGTAACTGTCATTTTTTTTTCCCTTCAAGGCCTTTCCAACACTCAGTGTTCTTTCCTACCGAACGGTGCTCCTCCAGAATTGTGGAGACCTGCCCCTCACCTTCTGTCTGGACCCCAGCTCAAACCCCGCCTTGTCAGAATACGTATCTGTAGTTCCGACCTGTGGTTTCATCCCACCTGGGAACCACCAAATCCTCACCCTCAGAACAACTCCCACAGAAGAAAGCCCCAAAGTGAGGCTCAGTTGGCCCATTCAGCTTAATGTGGCTAACCACACAGAGGTACTACACTGCACAGGATGAAAGAGGACAAGGGAAAAAAAATTGTGACAATTTTTCAGGATCATTGTTATTGTTGTATTGGCCACGAAAGGCTAAAATGAACCACTAACATTAGTTCTAAAGGGGCCCTATTATGCTGAGTTTCAGGTTCATATTTGTATTGTGTGTCTCCACTCCGACATGTTTCCATGCTTTAATGTTCAAAAAGTGCTCTATTTTGCTCATACTGCAGCACCGCTTTTCACCCTCTGTCTATAACCAGAGCCCAGTCTGCTCTGATTGGTTAGCTGGCCGGCTCTGTTGTGATTGGTCAACCTCTTAGAGGTGTCCTACCCCCTTAGCCTATCCTGTACAATGTGTCGGAGAGCAAGCCAGCAGAAGCGAGTGTTTATTGGGGTATGCTCACATACACAATATTCACTTGGATGTTGAAGACAGTTGTAGAACAATACTGTCATGTCTTTTGGCTAGAAACGTTTTTGTATCGGCAACTTAATAATAATAATATATTTTATTTAAAGAGTGCTTTTAAAGGTAATCAAAGACACACAGATCCAGGTTAAAATGTATCAAAACATAATTAAAAAAACACACTTTTAATATAAAAATAAAAATGATCCTAGCAACCACAACAAAAAGTTCCCATCTGTCGATGAGATGAAACACCTCGATTTTCTTGACAAAACTATTTTTTTAACCTGTACTTAAATCACACAGGTACAACACAGGAAAGTAACCATGTTACACAGGTGATTTAATCTGTGCATCTGTCTCTGTGTCCCTTTAGGACTTGAACGTTGTCCTTTGGGTGGATAAGGTGAGTGTGTCTCTGAAAGAAGGCAACAGTTTATATTTCCAGCCTACAGCGGTGGGCTCTCGAATACAGCGCACCGTTGACATACGAAATCTCTGCAGCCAACCTCTACGGTTTGTGGCCATAACGGTTGTTTTTCCTGTGACATTTTTGTAATTTTTCAGAGTCTAATTGTAGTTTGGGGCATCATTAATCTTTTCTACAGCTGGCTCTCTGTGATTGTCCTTTCATGATAGATTCCAGTGGAGCATTCCAGAGCCAGACCAGGAGCTTATCTCTGTTGAACCAGATGCTGGAGAACTGCATCCCAATGAAAAATCAGTGAGAAACTGAATCAGACATACAATTATGCAAGAAGAGACTGTGTAACGGATTTTCTTTGGGGATAATATATTTTTTTTACATACACCCGGAAGATTTTGACATCCTCCTGGAATTTTTTAAGAGGCCCTTTTTATGCTCATTTCCAGGTTCATATTTGTATTTTGTCCCTCGACCGTGACATGCTTACATGCTTTAATGTTCAAAAAGTTCTTTATTTTTCTCATACTGCCTGTGCTGCAGCACCTCTTTTCACCCTCTGTCTGAAACCAGAGCCCAGTCTGCTCTGATCGTTGGCTGGCCGGCTCTGTTCTGATTGGTCAACCACTTACAGATGTGCCGCCCCTAACCTCTAGTTTCCACCGGGTCCGTCCGTGTTGCGTTACGGCTGCGCCGCGGCGTCCGCGAGGATCGCAGCCACTCTAGTCAATCGGTGCTATTCCACCAGACGCGCCGCGTTACGGCTCAGAAGCGTCCCAGAAGCGTCTCGTCGCTGGGCTCCGCTCGAAATAGGATTGAAGTCTATTTTTCGACGCGACGCAGGCGGTAATGTCGGGCAGGCAGGAAGTGGAACGTTCAGAGCACATAGCATATAGCATATACACACACACAAACTAATTTTGCAGACCCTATCCCTCCGTAGTCTTTCAAGTAGGAGGAGAAATGCCAGCGTTCTCCTCCGGTTTACAGGCACTGTGTAAATATATACATAGAATAATTATGATGATGAATGAAGTGTGGGAAACTCCATCTGGAGGGAACTTTGGGATTTTAGTCTTTGCAGACCATTGACATGCACAGAAACCTATACAGCACACTTCAAGAAAGGGAAAACCCCCAAAATATAATAGGGCCCCCTTAAATATGCTCACATTGTTCCTATTTTGTAATTTTATTATGTTCTTTATTGTATACACATTACTTCTTTTGCATGTCTGTCCATCCTGGGTGAATGATCGCTCCTGTGTTGCTCTCTCAAAGATTTCTTTAAATCTCTCCATCAATGTGTTTTTTTTGGGGGTAGTGTTTCCCTATTCGCTGCAAGGTTATATTAACATAGGGTGTTGTATGCTGTGTACACACTGTAAAGCCTCCTGAAACAAATTTAAAATGTGTAATATTGTGCTTTATAAATGACATTTGATTGATTAATTGTTTTTAACTGTGAATTTACAGGTCCAGACATGGTCCTTCAGCCCACTGGAAGAAAAAACATACACACTGAAACCCACTTTCACCTTCTGGTCAATGCAGACTACTGGATGTAATAAGTCACAACTTACCCTTGTAGTGGTGGGGACGGGCTCAAAAGGCTTCATAGAGGTGGGACTGTCAGTGTGGTTGGGTGTATGCATGTACTGGAACTGTATGTGAATTTTCAAGAAATAGCCATAAAAAGCTGTGTGTATTTCTCTTCCTACACAGGCAGAGAAAGCTGTTCTGGATGTTGGGGAGGCTCTGGTTGGAAGCTACCGGTCGATTCAGGTTCCTCTGGTGAACAACAGCCCCTGTACCGTCTCCTTTTGTCTCTCTGTGCAACAGACGCTTCTGGACGAGGAACTTAGTTATGACCCCGAGACTGAGCCAAATGGTATTCTATTTCGTGATGGGTTTGCTGTTCTTCCCTTAATGTATTTACATGATATTGATCAGCTCTCAGCAGAGTATTTGATTTTAGCATGTGTAATGGTCAGTAGGGAAAATGAATGGTGTAAATTAAATATTTCCCTCCATTAAGGTAACTTGCAAGTACAAATGTGATCAGTTGGTGAAGTCTCATTTGTTTCATCTTCTTTGTTTTGACTTGAGAGGATTTGCCATGCTTATCTTTTTATGTTTTTTGTATGTTGTTGTAAAACTCATTTTGGCCACAATAGCTGATTTGCACCACCAAGATTTAAAGCATTTATGTTTTCTTTCATGTAAATGTCAAGCTCTCAATGCACTTCAAACACACACTACATATAATGTATGCTAGAAAGTTATGTAGTATTACTGTCATGTATCTTTCTTTTTCTATAAATATATTTTTATCAGTGCTAGTCTCAAGCTTTTAGTCCTATTCAGATCATGGCTTACTAGATCACTTAATCCTCTTGTGAGTTTAAATAAGTATAACAAAAATAACACTTGATCTGACAGGTGTAAAATAGTGCCGAAGTAAAATTACCCTGGCAAAACACACATAAAAAAAACTATGAGCGAGTGATGAGAGTGAAATGAATAACACATACAGGTGTAGTAGTTGGAACAGTGCTGCATCTAGCTGTGTCCTGTCTGCCCTTTAGCCCTGAAGATGGACTGTGCAATGGGAACCATTGCTTCACGCTCCAAGATGCTGCTCCGATCCACCGTCAGGCCAAACAGACGAGCCCAGTACCTGTGGACCATCAGCTACCAGACGCTGAACGCCAGTGGTAGATAAGAAGAAATCTGTTTACAATTATTTGCTGCTGCCTTTTATTGAATTGTACTGCACTGTTACATTTATTCCATTTTCATTTCATTTTTTACCTGTTAAATTCAATTTGAGCTTGTATATCATTGTTTTTAATGTGCTTTAATACACTTTGAATTGCCTTAGAAACCTGCCTATACTTGCCATTTCATTTTATATTACGTGACACTTATTGCTCCTTTCTGTTCTATATCTGTCTCAGGTTTGGCTTCATCCCCTCTTCAAGCTGTGTGTGAAGTGCGAGCTAAGGGTGTGTTTCCCACTCTGCGGGTGATTGATGTGTGCAGTGGTGGCAGTGTGGGCAGACTCAGCAAGGGGCACCTCTGGAAACTATTCTCACTGGACCGCCTCAATGAGCTCATGCTGTCCAACCCCTGCCCCGCTGAACTCACTCACAGAACGCCTATCAGACACAGGTGAGGAAAAGCATTATGGCTCTCAATGTAAGACCTTAATACGTGAAGAAAAATAACACTCCCTCCCAGAAAAGCTCACCACTGAATGCTCACAATTTGATATCGGCAGCAAGTATAGAACCATACGAGCTAAGCTTTGGAAAAATAACATGATTTGTCATCATGTTACTGTACAATAAATTAAAAAACCCTCTGATTTCTCTTACCACTTTGTCATGCATTTCTTTATTACAACACCAGACCTGTATTTGTTTTATTCCTCCTCTAAAATACAAGTATACACTAGTATTTTAAACTCGTGATTTCTTATGATTTATTTAATATAATTGGTTTGATTAACACAATTACATTTTTGATTTGTAATTGATTCACTCCACTTAAAAGAATATGTAAATTGTATTTTTCAAAACATTCAATAATTTTCAGGATTTTAACCCTTTAAATGCCTGTTTCATTATTTGAATTATTTCATTATTTATGACAAAAAACACAAAAAATGATTTTTTTTCAATACAATAATTAGTAAAGGCATGGAACTTTGGTGGTTATTAGAGTCTTGGATGTGTCAAAGATTAGCAACAACATTTATTTGACTGCATTATTACTTTTTACGTAGTGTCAGATACTACCTCTGGACCCCTTGGTGGCAAAAATGTACACACCGATAATAACTTCTATTAAATCATCATACATCAATATTTCTTTCTACTTTTTGTTTCATGAATCACATAAACAACTTCTAACGTACTCAAAACTGCCAACAATTCAATCATTTTCAGGAATTTAACCCTTTAAATGCCTGTTTAATTATTTTTATTATTTTGTTTATCTAAAAAATGCCTCATTGACTTCCATTCAGACCACATTTTTTGATCTCACTGCCATTGCAGTATAAAACCATGCATTTTGTAATGTCAGCATTTCATTGAGAAGACAAGTAGTGATATTTGATATTTCTACTCTATTCCAACAGATTACACAATTTTCCCACTGTAGGCCGATGCATGAAATTCTTACATTTTTGCCAGTTATATTATGGAGCCGTGTGACTACCAGGGGGCCCCGAGAGTGGTGTGTGTGTGTGTGTATGTATGTGTGTGTGTGTGTGTGTGTGTATATGTGTGTGTGTGTGTGTGTGTGTGTGTGTGTATGTGTGTGTGTGTGTGTGTGTGTGTGTGTGTGTGTGTGTGTGTGTGTGTGTGTGTGTGTGTGTGTGTGTGTGTGTGTGTGTGTGTGTATATATGTGTGCGTATATATGTGTTCGTATATATGTGTGTGTGTGTGTGTGTATATATGTGTGTGTATATATGTGTGTGTGTGTATATATGTGTGTGTGTGTGTGTGTGTGTGTGTGTGTGTGTGTGTGTGTGTGTGTGTGTGTGTGTGTGTGTGTGTGTGTGTGTGTGTGTGTGTATGTGTGTGTGTGTGTGTGTGTGTGTGTGTGTGTGTGTGTGTGTGTGTGTATGTGTGTGTGTCATTTCCAGCAGCAGACCAGCAGGTCCTGCAGCATGTGACCTGGTGCTCTCTCAGGTGATAGAACAACAATTTTGTAGGCCTGTGCACAACCAGCACACACCTCTCCTCCCTCTCTCT